TATTACCTAACGATTTCCTTTGAGATAGTGGTGTTAAACGCAACATAAGAATAACAGAATATGTGTGATAAATAGGATATGCGTTGCAGAGTGTACTTGAAGTGCCTAGACTACCAATACAAGTCGTGTACGTATAGAACCTACGTTTGCTAGGTTATGTTTCGTTATCACAGTACCAACATATTTTTTACGGCCACTTTCTTAATAATCGTGAATAATAATATTATACGCAACCGGACTAAACGTAACTGAAACACTTTACGCAAGGCTTAATGACACATTGAGGAAATAATAACAGTTTAAGACTGACGGATTTCACATAAGTATTACTACGTCACCTTTCATTCTCGTTAACTCTGCAATGTCCTCAACATGATAAGTAAAACAGACAAAGTTAGTCGACATAAATGCATATATTTGCAAGGAAACAACAATCAATCAAGTTAAAAATAACTCAGAATCAAAGGGTACATATCTACACTAAAAAGAGAGAATAACAATCCAGTGAAAAAAATCACAACTGTAGAGTTTTTATAGCTGCATCACAGCCATGATGACTAGTCATCATAAGTTAACCAAACGCTCTGTCCGCAACATCTGTATCAGTTTCTCCCCGTTGGTAATGATGTTCGACCAGTCTTTGCAGTTTTCGTCACCACCAGATCCGTTCGGAGAAACTAGATGAGAACTTTTCAAGCAAAGATTGACATTGTGTTCATTAGACCGTATTGAGAAATATCTGAGGATGGATACATATCAGATAAATTCATCTTACCTCTGGTGAACAATTCCCTATCTTAGCTACACTGAATATGTGAACAAGGGAGGGAACAATCACAGAGTTGGAGAAATTCTACAGATTAGTCTTCTATATATTCCACGATAGATTTCAGGAATTATGTAACTTCCAAATCACCTGCCACATTTTCTCTTCTGTAAAAAGCAAATATTATACAAGTGACTCTTATCTATCCGTCACAACCAACTGAAAGAGATAAAATCTTCAAACTCTTTAATTCTTTGATTAAGTTAGCCAGTAATATTCTCCTTGTGAGTGGATCAAATGCTTATTACATCTGTGAAATTTATACACATGTTAACTTGTTCCCTTAAGCTAAAAAATATAATGTCTATCCCCTTTTACTATTGTTATTTCAAAGCCCGCCTCAGTAACGTACAACACGTATTAACCGCAACGTTTACGCAAAGGAAAGTCTACCAATCACAGTGTGCGTAAGTGACCTTCAAGTGCTCAGCCTCTACATAAGCCATTTGTGCCGCTATCCTCTGTCAAAATATAGACCTTTCATCGCATTCTGCGTCTTCTTCTTTCTCTGTCTGTGACCCTGTGGAATATCTGTTACAGATTACGGTTTGTGACTTGTATTTCTGCAATATGGATGACATTGACCCATACTTCTCAATGCAAGAGGAGGTTTATAAGAATCTGCAGCTAACTAAAACACTATGAAGATTGGAAGGGTGGTTCGGGTCCTGAGGGTACAAAAATACTCACTCGAATTCGACAGACGATCAAGAATATTGACTGGGATCTAATGGACTTACAGGTTAGCGTTTTGTGAAATCCCAACACATGAATTTAATATTTTGATTCGTTTGGTGTTGGAGAATCGGTCCTTTACCGCGCGCTTTGAAAAAGGAGAGTGGCGTTTTTCACGTTGTGAAGTAAATTCTGCTTTTGTTGTTTAAACTACATCAGAAGCTTTTTAGTTCACTTTAACTGATTTATTTAGTTGAAGTGTTGTTCATATTATTCACAGTTAGTGTTTTGTTTGGTATTTACGCTTTTTTTTACGTATATACATTTGTGTATATGGTTGGTATTAACCTCACAGTTTTCACGTACATATATTTGTGTTGTAACAAATTAGCGCTATGGGTCCGAATAACAGTTGCGGACGACTGGACTGCCACTTTCCGGTGGATGATGATATTCAGTGTGACAACTGCAGTCTATGGTTCCACAAGGTTTGCACTGGTTTGTCACCAGTAGCCTATAAGAGATGTTGCATGCCATCATCTCCGTGGCTGTGCAAATTTTGCAGCAACCCGTTGGATGTCCTCATCCAAGAGGCAGTGGGACTCCTGATTTCCAAGAAATTGACTAAAAACGTAATCGAGAAGCCTGTACCAGAAATCATAGCCAAAAATGGCGGTTCAGGAAACCGATGCTGCCGAGACCTCTCTTCATAAGCCGGATGAACACGTAGGTGTCTCGGTGTGCTATACGAACGCGTGTAGTCTTAGGAATAAGCTTGCCGAATTAGGAGAGTTATCTGAAAGACTACAACCTGATGTGATTGCTATCACTGAGACATGGTTGTTAGTGGGTGTAGACTTCACTCATACCTGGGTACATCTGCATTCGAGCAGATAGAGTAAGTAGTCGGAAGGGTGGCCGGGTTGCTCTATACATCCGCGATGACATAGGGATTAGGTCAACGTTGTCAGAAGCTCATGACAGCAGCACCAGTGAGGCTGCAAGTTGCGTTATTAATCTGAACAAAGGCACTTTAACGATCGGAGTTATTTACAGAAGTCCTGCTAGCCAAGCTGATGACTTCGTCCTCAATCACTTGAGGGCGTGGGGTAGTAGAAATAGGTGTCTGGTTGTTGGCGACTTTAATGCTCCACACATTAACTGGGGGGGGGGGGGAATTAAACTCCACTAGTTTGTATACCTGTTTCAATAGGGAGTTCACATTGACAGTGCTTGAATGTGCACTCATGCAACATATGCATGCACCAACACGGTATCACCCGAAACATGATCCATCTACTCTAGACTTGGTATTAACACACCAGAAGGAGGACGTTGGTGACATTAGGTGCCTTCCGCCGCTTGGCAGCAGTGACCACATAGTCATTGCTTTTACGTTTAAGATTCATTCTCTCATACACAGGTCAAAATCTGCTCGTTCAAACATTTGGAAAGCGGATATACAAGGAATCCGGAACGCAGCAACTGCAGTTGACTGGTCAGTAGATACAAGTCGGACTGTCGAGGAAGCTTGAGTAGAATTTAGAAATACACTGGATTGTGTCACTTCACCTTTTATACCTTGGTACACTCCTCGAAAGCTATCGCACAAGCCACCTTGGATTACTAGTGAAATAAGGAGGCTATTAAGACGGCGAAAGAACTTATGGGGGCAATTTATTACGACAGAAAGGGAAAGTTTCCAGAAAGACTACCGCAAAATTCGAAATCTCTGTAAGTACGCGATTAACAAGAGTCGTATGGAATATGAGAGACGGCTTGTACTAGATAGTGTTCACTACCGAAAAAGGCTCTTCTCGTATATTAAACGTAGGACTAAAACTAGCAATGGTATACCGTCACTCATTAGCATTGGTGGAGAAACGGCTGAGTCAGACGAAGGAAAGGCTGAAAACCTCTTTGAATACTTCTGTGACGTCTTCTCGTCTGATAGTACCACCCAGGGATATGGCGAGGTCAATGCCATCGCCACTCAGATGCCCTCAATTGTGGTAGAGCACACAAAAGTCCTCAAACTACTGTCTAAACTGAAGCCAGGTAAATCACCTGGGCCTGATGGACTTCACCCTAAACTGTTAATTTCCTTGGCGGATATAATATATATTCCGCTTGTGGAGATTTTCCAAATGTCACTGACCCAGGCTAAGCTACCCAGGGACTGGAAGGATGCCATTATAAGCCCTATATTCAAAGAGGGGGACAGGCAATTGGTATCTAACTACAGGCCGGTAAGTCTGACATGCATTATAGTAAAGGTAATGGAAACTATTATAAGGGATCAGCTATTAGCTTATGTTGAAACACATGGCTTACTGGCAGTTGAACAGCATGGATTCTGACCAGGACGATCCTGCTTGACAAACTTACTGTTAGCTAGGGAAGATTGGGTCGAGGCCAGAGATAAAAACCTTCTGTTGGACGTGGTTTTTATTGATCTTAGCAAGGCATTCGACAAAGTATCCCACTTAGGTCTCCTTAGTAAACTTAAAGGTTTCGGACTAGACCAATGCCTATGTGAGTGGTTTAGGGATTACCTAATGGATAGAAGGCAGAGGGTTAGAGTTAACGGTATACTATCAGGGTGGAAAGCAGTATCCAGTGGAGTGCCTCAGGGAACTGTATTAGGCCCCTTGCTATTCCTATTATATGTTAATGAGCTACCAGGGATTCTTACTTCATCTTCATTGTTATTTGCAGACGACATTAAGATATGGAAAACTGTAAACAATAACGAGGATAGGTCGGCCCTACAAACTGATCTAGATAAATTAGCTGAATGGTCGAACCTGTGTAGTTTGGAAATGAATTCTAGGAAAAGCGCAGTAATGCACTTAGGTCAGAAGTCTTATACGTCGTACTCCCTAGGGGACACAGAACTACCTGATGTTAACGAACAGAAGGACCTAGGAATCATTGTCAGCAATGATTTAAAAACAACTGCAAATTGCAATGCAGCCGCAGCTAAGGCTTTTCGAATGCTATGGGCACTCCGTAGGGCTTTCAAACGATTAGATGAGGGCATGTTCCAAATACTCTACGCAACATATGTCAGGCCTCATCTAGAATACTGCGTACAAGCGGTGGGTCCATGCTTCAAAAAGGAGGCATATATCCTGGAAAGAGTACAGAGAGTAGGAACAAAATTAGTTAGTGGTATCTCACACCTTCCTTATGATAAGAGGATGGAGCATTTAAATCTCTTTCCGTTATCATACCGAAGGAAGAGAGGCGACTTAATTTTAGCATACCGTATACTTAAGGGTGATTTAGGAACTGACCTTTCTAAACTTTTCTCTCCTTCTAGGACGCATTTACGGGGTCACCGCCAGAAGGTGCTCAAACCGAGGACGATTAAAATACGTGCAGAATTTAGATTCTCTCACAGAGTGGTCAACGACTGAAACTCCTTACCTGATTCAGTAGTAACAGCTCCATCGGTGAACGCTTTCAAAGAGAAGTTAGATCTCTGCAGAGATTTATTTTGCAAAGATTAACACAGGCCACAAGAGCCTTCTATCCTTATCAACTGAATCTGACTCTGCAAAACCAATTTTGGTGACTTTAACCAGGCTATAAATAGGTCTGATTTGAGGTTCGTAGGGTATACTGCTTGCATTTTTCCTGAATGACTGCGTTAGTCTACCTCATAAAGTTGTATTTTTGGAATTTTTCAACCCTGAAGATCTCTCATTAAAGGGTTTAGAAGCAGAAATTCTTCAGGGTTGGGTTTTCGAGAAAATTAAAAAGCAAGATAATTATGGTATCCTGCCTTACTGATGCGGAAGAGCGTGAGTTGTCAGTGGGAGACTAAACTTTTAGTATGCGGAATTGGTGTCGCATTATATTATATATTGACCTCACTATTAGACGGTCTTCAGATCTCGTTTCTTCATATTTCCTCGCCTTCGTCAGTTGCCCGACTTTTCCTATAGATCATTTTAACGTCTCCATTATGAATGTCAGGAGTATCATCCTAAATTTTCTCATTGGAAATATGGCTAATTTGTGTAAGCACTCAACTTTCAATCAGTGGGTCTTGGTTTCAAATCCAATTCACACCTACTTACATACTATCAGGTACTATTTTAACCTATGTCATTTGTTCCTGATGAGGTGATGAATGTATTGCCATTCTTTCCAATTGTAGCATTAGAAGTTTGCATTGTCATTAGTAGGTAGGTAACCAGGGAGTAGCTTTTTCTAATTGTTAAAATAATCTGATCAGGTTAACTTTGATTTTTCATTTACTAACTCTGATATCCTTAGCGAGTAATGGAGTTCTGTTATATGAAGCCTTCAGTAGTGTATCTGCCGTGTTTGTTTATTCTAAGTTAATTGGAAAGTTTGTATGACGGGATGGTTGACAAGCAGTGCAGCCAAAGAAGTCTTATCATCACTAAATTCTGACTTGTTCGTGAACAATCTCCACTAATTGATATCACTTTTTATGTTTTCTCACTCACTAGTCCCGGAATATCTCATATGATAAGTAAGTAGCCGTTAAGTATTTTTCTTACCAGTCGTGCCCATGGATGTAACAGGTCTCGGCTATTTAACAATTACGATTTTGACAGTATGTTTTCATACTGTTGGATACTGTCAGCTGTTGTTCTTGATGGTTTAAGACGTCGATTTGGAAATTATGGGATGGATATAAGTATTGACTTAAATGTCAGTATCCACCTGATGGCTAGCTTCTGAAGCTGTAGTTAGAAGTAGTCAGTGGATGCTCATCGAAGGCATTTGTTAGTTGTAGTGCTCTGAGATGGTTAGTACATATCTTCCTCGACAACAGGCATTGTTAGCTGACAGATTGGAAAAGGTCAGTGGTGGTTAAACCAAAACATGGCTTTGTCAGTCAATCAAATCCACAACAGTTAGTTTAGGCCAGCCACCTAGGAAGGTGTAGACTTCCTGGTTGGGGTCCTCGAGACGGTAGAAAGCAATGGATGAAGACAATCAGTGATGTAGCTCAAAATCGTTCTCAGGGATGGCGCAGATGCATCCAGTCCTTGTGGCTTATAATTTCCAATGAAACTATATTGCTCTTCGTTATTACTATTCCTTTTGTCTCATATTCCTATTTACTATCTCTATTTTTCATTTCTTCTACTCTCTTCTCTTGCTTTGTGTGCTACATGGAGTGTGGCGACTCGAACTGTTGCACATCAGTGCAAAGTTTTACTTTGAAACCAGTCAGTCAATCAGATAGCGCTCTACTACGAATTTACATGAGTTAGAATTCACGAGCCATTGTGTTCCTATCCAAATGATCAGGGGATTCGGTCCCGTAACCTAAAAGTCGTGGATTCGATCCCCCTAGTGGGGTTATACTTCTGGACTCCAAAATAAGGACGAAACAGCTGTCCATTGCCTCATGCTTCTCAACGATCTCTAACTGACCTTATTTTATGATAAAATCTAACAATTGAAATTTATTCTAAATCCCTACAAAATCCATCATCAAAATATGGGATAGGTGGTGAATGGCAAATGTAGACACATGTAGGCAAAGCTTTCAGCATCTGTTGGCGAACCTCTGCTCCTTGACTCATCATATCATTTCAATTCATACGTAGACCTTTTTAATTTCCCTAACTCAAAAGTTAAATCCATAATGGTTAAGATTTTATTTTGATAAATCACACAGTGTTGTACAGTTATATTAACTGATGACCACGTTTCGAGCACAAATTATTGCCACTCATAATCATATCAAGTTACTCACACAACTTCTTTCCTTCATTTATACACATGTGTGGAATCGATTAGATATTGGAATAAAATTCAATATGAGATAATGTACATTCAGAAATAATAGCACGAGTGTTATTAATCCATTACAATTAGATGGGAAATACGACGAGGGTTTTTATAGTCATAATAAGTTGATTGTTAGAATCCTTATTATGGAGTTATACTCTACCACAGTACCCAAGTTTTATACTTATATCAGTTTGTTTTGTAATCAGAAGGCACTGAGTTTGAACTGCCGCCTCTGGTGGGCTTGTACCATCCGCGAGTCCCAAAATAGGACGAAAAGCTCTCCAGAAATCCCTGGCTCTTTTTCAACTCTCCTCCTTCAACTGATATCAATAACTGATCAAACCTGAAAAATCTCGGTAGATTGTTAAACCCGACCCCTTTTTCCCTGTTTTACACCATTCAGGTATTAAATTCTTCAAAAGAGGAAGATTATAATCCTTTTACTTAGATTACCTTCAAGAAATTGAAACGTCCTACTCTAACTCGAAAGTCGGTACTTCACATCCAGTCTTTAACTCCGAGGTATACTCCTTCACTTTCAGACATCAACCACTCACATTACATCGAAAGTAGTTAACAATGTATTTGAAGGCTACAACCTGTGTATCTCGAAAAATAATTAGCAAACTAAAATCATGTTGAATACAATGTGTAGTAATAATGAGTAATAAGTGAGTTCTGAAGTGACATCTATTTACTTATGATGTATGGATTAGTCTTATGTACAGTATGAAAATTGTATGTATATGGCTATGTGGAAAAAGAGATTTTTGGCGCTAATATAAAAAATAAGGTAAGTCTTCAATCTAGTCTAAATATGGTCTCCATATCGGTGGCGATGTTGTTGTTGTTGTTGGCTTTACGGTGTCATGGTTAGAATCACAAGAAACAAAATTAGTAGGAGTTGTTGCCGTTGTTGTTGGTGGTGGTGGTGTGGTAGGATTGAAAGTCATTGTGTCATGCTGTCGATGAAAATAATTCGATGTGAGATTGCTGCTTGAAGAGTCTGTGGTAGTCTTTACAGGCACACGAAAGGCTGAAAAGCGTTGCTGTTGTTGTTGTCGATCTTCTTCTTGTTCGTTTTCTTCTAATTTTTCAAACGGTGGTGACATTGAATTCATGAGTAAATCAGTTAAAGAATGAACAACATTCGGTGTATCCAAAGGTTTAGGACATCCTACTGTCAATCTAGTATACTCATCGCTGACAATATCAAACTGATTTGTTCGATTATCTGTTAAACCTGATGAATGACTGTTGTCACCGCTGAGAAATCCACTATCAGAATTATTCAGTGTGGAATCCAAATGTTTTCTATGTTCTCCTACCGGTACTGATGACAGCCACTGGTTGTTATTATTCCATGAATGTGTCTCAGTATTTGAATGTTGGTGACTATTGTTCGTCATCATCCTCTGACGTGGTGGAAAAAGAGGAATAAGAGGAGGTGTTGTTGTTGGAATTGAACAGACGCCAAAGAATACTGCTGCTGATGATTTTGAAGGCGATGGAGTAGACATCGAAGATGAATTGTGCATATAACCAAAAGGGATTCTTGTTGGTGGTGTTCTTCTTGTAACAGTATTCGTGGTAATGGTCTTCACTGCTGAACACTTCATTTGAAAATGCATTTTTAATTATCAATTTTGGTATCTTATAGTCTTCATCAATCACCAACTGGGTAGACTGAGGAATGTAAGCAGTAGCAGTAGCAGTGGTATTAGAATTTGCAGTGGCAGTGGTAGTTGTAGCGGCATTTGATTGGAAGAAAGACGACGGTAGTATTCGTGTTATTTTAGACGATGAATTAGTATTCACAACAGAATATTCTTCTTCCCTAGAAAGTTTATTCGTCACCAATGCATAGTCTTGTTTTCGAATTTCTGCTGTTGCTGTTGCTGCCATAGCTACTTTATACAATGATTTAGTGAATTTATGAAGCTTCTTCGTCGCTGACGTCGATCGTGATGACGAGGAGCGGTAGGAGGAGAAGGCGGAGGATGATGGAATGTCATTCCTGGTAGGAGATGAAGATGTCAGTTTATACAAACTATGACGGGTTGCAGCTACCCGAACTACAAGCACGTTTGAAGAAACTGCGTCATAGTTTGTATAAACTGACATCTTCATCTCCTACCAGGAATGACATTCCGTCATCCTCCGCCTTCTCCTCCTACCGCTCCTCGTCATCACGACCGACGTCAGCGACAAAGAAGCTTCATAAATTCACGAAATCATTGTATAAAGTAGCTATGGTAGCAACAGCAACAGCAGAAAATCGAAAGCAAGACTATGCATTGGTGACGAATAAACTTTCTGGGGAAGAAGAATATTCTGTTGTGAATACTAATTCATCGTCTAAAATAAGAGGAATACTACCGTCGTCTTTCTTCCAATCAAATGCCGCTACAACTACCACTGCCACTGCAAATTCTAATACCACTGCTACTGCTACTGCTTACATTCCTCAGTCTACCCAGTTGGTGATTGATGAAGACAATAAGATACCAAAATTGGTAATTAAAAATGCATTTTCAAATGAAGTGTTCAGCAGTGAAGACCATTACCACGAATACTGTTACAAGAAGAACACCACCAACAAGAATCCCTTTTGGTTATATGCACAATTCATCTTCGATGTCTACTCCATTGCCTACAAAATCATCAGTTTTCTTTGGGGTCTGTTCAATTCCAACAACAACACCTCCTCTTATTCCTCTTTTTCCACTACGTCAGAGGATGATGACGAACAATAGTCACCAACATTCAAATACTGAGACACATTCATGGAATAATAACAACCAGTGGCTGTCATCAGTACCGGTAGGAGAACATAGAAAACATTTGGATTCCACACTGAATAATTCTGATAGTGGATTTCTCAGCGGTGACAACAGTCATTCATCAGGTTTAACAGATAATCGAACAAATCAGTTTGATATTGTCAGCGATGAGTATACTAGATTGACAGTAGGATGTCCTAAACCTTTGGATACACCGAATGTTGTTCATTCTTTAACTGATTTACTCATGAATTCAATGTCACCACCGTTTGAAAAATTAGAAGAAAACGAACAAGAAGAAGATCGACAACAGCAACGCTTTTCAGCCTTTCGTGTGCCTGTAAAGACTACCACAGACTCTTCAAGCAGCAATCTCACATCGAATTATTTTCATCGACAGCATGACACAATGACTTTCAATCCTACCACACCACCACCACCAACAACAACGGCAACAACTCCTACTAATTTTGTTTCTTGTGATTCTAACCATGACACCGTAAAGTCAACAACAACAACAACATCGCCACCGATATGGAGACCATATTTAGACTAGATTGAAGACTTACCTTATTTTTTATATTAGCGCCAAAAATCTCTTTTTCCACATAGCCATATACATACAATTTTCATACTGTACATAAGACGACTAATCCATACATCATAAGTAAATAGATGTCACTTCAGAACTCACTTATTACTCATTATTACTACACATTGTATTCAACATGATTTTAGTTTGCTAATTATTTTTCGAGATACACAGGTTGTAGCCTTCAAATACATTGTTAACTACTTTCGATGTAATGTGAGTGGTTGATGTCTGAAAGTGAAGGAGTATACCTCGGAGTTAAAGACTGGATGTGAAGTACCGACTTTCGAGTTAGAGTAGGACGTTTCAATTTCTTGAAGGTAATCTAAGTAAAAGGATTATAATCTTCCTCTTTTGAAGAATTTAATACCTGAATGGTGTAAAACAGGGAAAAAGGGGTCGGGTTTAACAATCTACCGAGATTTTTCAGGTTTGATCAGTTATTGATATCAGTTGAAGGAGGAGAGTTGAAAAAGAGCCAGGGATTTCTGGAGAGCTTTTCGTCCTATTTTGGGACTCGCGGATGGTACAAGCCCACCAGAGGCGGCAGTTCAAACTCAGTGCCTTCTGATTACAAAACAAACTGATATAAGTATAAAACTTGGGTACTGTGGTAGAGTATAACTCCATAATAAGGATTCTAACAATCAACTTATTATGACTATAAAAACCCTCGTCGTATTTCCCATCTAATTGTAATGGATTAATAACACTCGTATTATTGCCACCAGTCAAATCAGAAGAGGATAATAAGTAATCGTAAAATTCTATTTCAATTCAAACACGTCAAAACATTCTAACAATCAACTTATTATGACGATAAAAACCCTCGTCGTATTTCCCATCTAATTGCAATGGATTAATAACACTCGTACTATTATTTCTGAATGTACATTATCTCATATTGAATTTTATTCCAATATCTAATCGATTCCACACATGTGTATAAATGAAGGAAAGAAGTTGTGTGAGTAACTTGATATGATTATGAGTGGCAATAATTTGTGCTCGAAACGTGGTCATCAGTTAATATAACTGTGCAACACTGTGTGATTTATCAAAATAAAATCTTGACCATGATGGGAGTTATAGTCAACCACATTGCTCAAGTTTTATACCTATATCAAAAGTAACATACTCGAGGTTCAAGCTTTATTCCTTAGTTCTCATAATTCATGTGCCGTATGACACTATACTTGGTTTCTGTTGCTGGGAGAACCTGGAAGTTGTTAGGTTGGACCTCTTCTCAACTGTCCTTTTTTGATAAGCTCTCAGGTATGTTTACTTCCGTTGTTGGTTGTTACGTGTGACATATTCCTTTATATTGTTCTGCCATGTAGGATGTGTGCATTTTTGTCTTATAAGCGATAAGTACCTCAGGTGGTTCCTGACTATTGTTGGTTGTATTTGACGAGTCCTACTTTATTCCTTTATAGAGCCTGTGATAGATGCATTCACTTAACCCTATGATTTGTAGTTTAAGGTTATTTTCATTATTCATAGGTTTCTCCATTTTTGTTTATGAGGATAAATACACTTAGTGTTCTTGTGGTCTTGTTTCTAGAAAGATGAAGTGCAGTTTGAAAAGCAACGTCTTACTTCCTATGGTTGAGGCTTAGTGGCATTTAGCTTCCAATAGGATCACGAGTATCAGTCATAGTTATATAATAATAATAATAATAATAATAATTATAGTAACAGTAATAGTGTATTCTCATTTTTGTACTTGTGGGACGCCAGTTTACAGGCATCATCAATTCGATTAATTACACATACGAATAGTAAGTATAGTCAGTAATGATAATATAATAAGGTACATAATTATTCCTACAAATGCAGGACACACAAGTTGTAAAGCCATGGATAAGTATTATTTAAGTTACATATTTAAATACATGATTTTCGGTGAAATAACATGGTTGCTGTCATTTTATCTTCAGTTTGTGGGAAAAATCGGATAACTGGTGATTCAATGGAACACACCAAGAAATATAGAGATATTGACTTCGCATTAACAAAAAAAACCCAAGTATGTTTTGGATGGATTACAGATGCTTGGGAAAATAAATAAAGCTTGAAGTCAAGTCCCTCATAAAACAATAAAATACGTCTCACAATAATATACTCCGTCTTTACGCACATGAATAAATAAATAAATTTATTCTCATAGTACAGTACATGGGGGACGCCAGTTTACAGGCATCATCAAATTGTTACAGAAATAGAACCATATAATTCAATCAAAATTTACACGCTGCAACAAGATATGCTTTACATGTCCGCTGGAGATAATACATCCACTTGATAAATGTTAATCCCAGCAGTATAAAACAGCCTTTTCACTTATATACAATAATTTCTGTGCACAGTTGGAAAAATCTGCTAGATCGTCAGTGAGTGCAACACAACACGAAATACAGAAGTATTGTCTTCGCATTAACAAAAAAAACCAGGTCTTTGGTGGATGGATTATAAGTGCCTGGGAAAAAAAATAAAGCTTGAAGTCAATTTTCATACATAACTTCGTTGTGTGCAGAATCCTTGAATTATTGTTCATTGATGTGTTATTTTGAAATCAGTGATATGTTTATCTCATTTCATCTGCAATGTCATTGTTGGGAGTAAATACATAAGCTTCGGACGCATTAATTAATGGATTTCTACTGCTTGTGGGTATTTTCTTAGCATGAGGAAGGCTTATGAGTTTCAGCTGTTCCGACAGGAGTTGAGAATATTAACTGCTCAGCAACATTATGGATATAAGTTCATCACATTATATAAGGAAGGGTGGGTTGCAGTTGGTGAGGGATATATGGTGCCCAACGAGCGTACATCTGTCCATGTGATGTTGTGGTGAGTTATACCTTTTTCATGTTGTCGGTTTATGTCCATTTTATTCCACTTGTGTTGGGTAGTAGTTTTACAAACGAGATTTCTTGTCTGTTTGAGGATACGTATCTTAACCGTTAATGTTTTATCTAGAATTATAAATGATAAGTTATGTGAATATTTCAGCCCTAGGTCCAGTACAGATTCCAGTCGTTGAAGTGCATGGCCTTGAATTGTCAGGTCAAGTTCTAAATTGTTGCAACCTATGCAGAGCCAGCCACATTTTTCGACATTAAATTGGAGTTGCCAGGTGTCACACCATCTATACATTTTTTCTAATTCTTGCTGTATGGCGTTTACTGTTATTCCAAGATCTGTGTTCTTGTATTTATACGTCACTTTTAAGTCATCTGCATATAGTATTGGTTTACCTACACTAAAGCATTCACAGATACTGTTTATATATATTATGAATAAGAGTGGGCCTGATACACTTCCCTGGATTAAACCACTACTTACTGGTTTAGGCCTTGAGATTATCGAGGCAACTTTCGTTGTCTGACTTCGGCCACAGAGAAATGATTTTATCCAGCTCAGGAGAGGGTCACATATCCCTAGTGAGCATAACCTGCTGACTATCAGATTATGGGGAACTCTGTCGAAGGCTTTTGTTATATCGAAATATAGTACAATTACTAGTTCTCTGTTGTCCCTACTTCGTGTAACTTCGTTGAAAATGTCTATGTGACAGGTCACACATGATCTCTTTTTGAGAAATCCGTGTTGTGATGGATTGATAAGTTCATGTTCTAGTAAGTTGTCTGACACTTGGTCTTTAACCACTTTCTCCATTATTCGGGATATTACCGGTGTTATATTGATAGGTCGATAGTTGCATACACTGGTTTTGGCCCCTGCTTTGTGCTTAGGTAATATGTATGTGGTTTTCCACTCTTCAGGATAAGTTCCAGTTTCCAACGAGAGAGAGTAAATATTCTAAGTAACAAGACTACCATTTCCGTGCTACCATTTTTGTATATGACAGATGGAATGTCGTCTGTTCCAGTACTACCATTAGACTTCAATGTCTTAATCGCTGAGTCTATATTTTGTATATTAAAATATATTTCGCCTAATTTGTGGTTACTTTTACAGGTCATTTGGAAATTTTGGGTCGGGTGCACTCTGGCGTCATTGCAAAACCACTGATTGAGGAGTTCACTTATAACCTGGGGATCATTGTATATTATACCCTTATGTTCCAAGCTGCTTACAGTATTGTCTTTACTGCTTTTTAGGCGTTTCTGCAATATCCTACAAAGTTCCTGAGTTTTGGAGTTACCCACAAGCGCTTTATTTTCTTCAAGTTGTGACCTCATTTTGTGTTTATCTTCAAGCCGTTTAAGAGTTTCATGTATTTAATAATAATAATTATAGTAACAGTAATAGTGTATTCTCATTTTTGTACTTGTGGGACGCCAGTTTACAGGCATCATCAATTCGATTAATTACACATACGAATAGTAAGTATAGTCAGTAATGATAATATAATAAGGTACATAATTATTCCTACAAATGCAGGACACACAAGTTGTAAAGCCATGGATAAGTATTATTTAAGTTACATATTTAAATACATGATTTTCGGTGAAATAACATGGTTGCTGTCATTTTATCTTCAGTTTGTGGGAAAAATCGGATAACTGGTGATTCAATGGAACACACCAAGAAATATAGAGATATTGACTTCGCATTAACAAAAAAAACCCAAGTATGTTTTGGATGGATTACAGATGCTTGGGAAAATAAATAAAGCTTGAAGTCAAGTCCCTCATAAAACAATAAAATACGTCTCACAATAATATACTCCGTCTTTACGCACATGAATAAATAAATAAATTTATTCTCATAGTACAGTACATGGGGGACGCCAGTTTACAGGCATCATCAAATTGTTACAGAAATAGAACCATATAATTCAATCAAAATTTACACGCTGCAACAAGATATGCTTTACATGTCCGCTGGAGATAATACATCCACTTGATAAATGTTAATCCCAGCAGTATAAAACAGCCTTTTCACTTATATACAATAATTTCTGTGCACAGTTGGAAAAATCTGCTAGATCGTCA